CAAGTCCGTGCACTTGTTCAAACTTTGCAATTTTCAGTGTGGCAAACATGCTCTCAGATTTAAGAGTTTACAGCAACAGGGGTGCATAAAATTAAAAATCGACTCACAGTATCTTAAAGTAGAGATTTCAAGCTTTCATTTGAAAAAAAGTTCATCATTTTACGATGATTTTTCGCGGAGTTACCGTTAACCAAAGTTGACCAATTTTTGCTCAAAATTTTTCTATGCCATAATTATTTTGAGCAGTGTATATAGTTATTAATGAAGTACATGTACATGTAATAAAATGAAGTACATGTACATGTAATAAAATGAAGTACATATACATGTAATAAAATGAGATACATAACGAACAATTTTTTTAATGCTCATAATTGGTTATTTTCATTTGCATTTAGTGCAACTTTTTAATCTCACTATATTTTTTTGTTAGAAAATACGACATGAAACAAGAAAAATAATATATATTCCCTATTTTATTTTTACTTGGCGGACACTGCACCTTTTTTACATTTTTAAAGCAATTTTTTTTCTTTACTCAATAACATTTTAATATGGCCTAAATTTATTGAAAAATGTATCTTACAAGTTTTGTCTCATTTACTAACAGTTTATTGTATTATATAGTATAAATTGAAGAAGGAAAGAAGAGGAAGAGAGAAGCTGCACTCCTAATAATTTCATCTTATATTTGTTATAGAAACGTATATTGCTGCTAGAAATGCTGCAAAGGGCTTTGAAGAGCTTTCATCTGCCTATGAAACTGAATCGGGTTATCAAATGGGCAGGGGAAAGAGAAGAAAGCGATTGATGAATTTGTTTACATCTGACGATGATTCATCTGACTCTGAAAATAAAAAGCAGAATAAAAAGTCAAAAATACCAGCTGCTCCTCTTCCACCATCGCCTTCTCTCACTGGTATATCTTCTCTGATGAAGTCTTCAAGTATTGCTTCAAAGAACAATAATGTTGAGGTGACAATTATTCCTAACATGAAACAAAGCAAAACAACTGCTTCTCCGGTATCAACTACAGTCGCTATTAAACGGAACAAGTTTGTGCAACAAATTATTAATCATAGAGAGCAAGCAGCTGAAAAAACATTACAACGGAAAAAAGCAATGTCTTTGGAAAATATACATAAGCTGTCTGTCAAAAATAAAGCAGTCGATAGCACATTGTGCTGTAAAGTACCAGTAAAAGTTTTAGAAGCAAGTGAAAATTGCAAATCTACACCACAATCTTCGTCAAATTTGTCATTGTTAAACTCGCAATCTGTTGAACAGTTATTATCAGATAGTAGTGAAAAGTCAAATAATAGAAGAGACTTTGAACCTCCTAGTGAAGATTTATTACAAACTGCTTCGACATCAATATCGTCTACAGATATCGCTAAGTTTAGCAGTAAGAATGAAACTCATATTTCTGTAAATTATTTTAAATATATTAATCTCAATTTTTGATATTTAGGAAAGACATGTGCTCTATTCTTTTCTATATTTTTTATTGGTAATATAGTAGTGATCAAATTATTATTTACAGATTTGTATGAATGATAAAATTGAACCAAAAAGTAGACAACATGAGAGCGAAACTTGATGTGATATTTATTAATCAATCTAAAATTAACAGAATTGTAATGCCAGAAGAAAAAGTTCTTTCTAAACCTTCAAACATGCCTGCACTTCCTTTAGATACTATAGAACAAGTCACGATGTTCGAGAAATTTCTCTCAAATGAAGTTAACTTTTCAGACACCGTGAGTAAGGTTTAATATACTTTTATTATATTCATTATAAGCCAATTCCATTTCTATAATATTAGTTGCATATATTAAATTAAAATCACAAAGTTTTTAACATATTTCGCTTCCTTAATATCGTTTTATTATTTAAATATTTATTTTAATTAAATGGAGCGTAACAAATCTATTATTTATTATTACACACTTAACATTTCCTTACTTAATATAATTGTAATAAAAGATAATGACTTTTACGTATTTTATACTATTACGTAATTTTACTTTACGTATTTGCATTTGTTTCAAAATTTTCTTTATGTTTTAGTGTTACTACTTAAAGTCTTTCCCTTTGGGAAATGATGAAATTCGAGCGGTACCTAAACTTATGTCACATCTTATTAGTAATTCTCTTGCCGAAAAGTTTAACTTTGATGGTCATGGAGCAAAATTAGCTTTTAAATCCACAAAAGTATGGGAATTGGTGCAAGGTTAGTAATT